ATATTAGAACTATTTCCTCGGTATTAATAACGTACCGATCGTTCGAGCTTTCTTTGACATCTCTCGAGTAACAAAAATTTCTCCTAATAATTTATACTCGGAAAGTTCCGTCAAATTTTCGACTTTTAACAATCTTTAAATTTTACATTTCGTTAAAGTAATTTCGTTGTTATTTGCCGTGTTTGTTTGATTACAGCTGAAGAAAGAAAACGCGGATGTTGCTCCGTTTCCGCCGAAGAAAGTAAGAAACTCCCAGCCAAGGGTGCTCGAGCAAAGGCGAGCAGCATTGGAAGTGTACATCCAAAAAATGTTAAGGCTTCCAGCCACGAAGCAACAGGTTCTCAATTTTCTGGGTATAGAAGACCGAACACCCGGCACGTCATATAAAAAGTACGTGCTCATGCGAGGACATTTGTAATTTTATGAGATATTATATTACATTGTAATCAGACACAGTATGGGTTTTTATGCATAATTGTATAATTAGAGAAATAGAATCTGAAAAGAAAATTGTTTCTTTTGTACAGGATTTGCACTTCAAAATTTTCCACAAATGCATAAAAATCCGTTGGTAATGTAGTAGTAAGAAAAATATGTAAATCTACTTGACCTTTTGAGAACTTTAATCATATATTAGTATTTTATTTTGTTATTACCAAAAGAGTGAGAATATACAAAAATTTGGAGCATTCTTCACTCTTTGGACGAAATGAACTTCTTGTTGAAAAACAAGAATATTATAATTATGACTTTGATAATGTTATGAATAAGAAGAATTTGTTGTTGGGGTTAAAATTAGAAGAAATCATCGTTTCATTGGAAATTAAAAAATTTTGAACAGGAGTATAGACGTTACCAAGTGTGTGCCTAATTATAGTTTTGCCTATGGAAAAATTTTTTCTTCGATATATTCTTCTTTTTTTTCGTCTCTAAAGTCGAATGTTTATTCTGTTTCAGTACGTACAAGGATACGGAGGATCAGCAATACGTTAACACAAATACTCTTGGCCATCAGCCTGTATTAACTTTCCACTGTGATCCATATGTTCAATCGAATGCTACGCCGAACAGTCTTCTAGATGTCGTGATCAACGGTGTACTTTTGGGTTTATACAAGTCTCGAGAAGCTTACTAAACTATTCAATAACAATATCCTCTATGAAAAGTGTAAAAAAGAACCACACGCTTCACGGGAAGCTCTGTTTTATTATGATCCGAACGAAATTTGGATCACAATTCAATTCTTGTCAGAGATAAAGCGATTCAGTAAGTGTTTTAATGTTTTGCTGTGCTGAGAATGTGTAATGCTATTCCAAATTCGACTAACGAAGAACGTGAGAGCGGAGGAAATCTAGTTCACACTCCTCCTGCTTAAGAATAAGAATTCTGCGCGTCTGTTTAATGTAATCAAGGCGTTCCAAGGAAGAAAATATATGCTCTGTTATATTTGAATCATCGTCTTGTTTATTTCATCTCATTATTCTCAGTGTTTACATTACTTGTGACATTCATCTTAATTCTATTTTAACTTTATCGTACTGGATATCTGGATTGTAAATGTAAATGTAACTCATAAGCGGATCTCTTGCGGTATTCTTTTATTCGCATTAATTCGTTTACTACCGTTCAGAGTGGACGTCACGGGCACTCGATAAAAATCCTTTGTCGACATACCCGCTAGCTCATTTGTTAGATGTATCCATTGATGCAATTTCCTTCGCGTCGGGGACAGAGTTCTGTTTCTTCTCTAAGGGAATGGACGTTGTGAATTCGATTGACGATTTTACAAGTATTATCGTGGAAAAAAAGAGGGTTTTAGGTTTCTAACTGATAACGATACACGCCTCTTCCTCTCTCTCCCCTCCCCATTTATCTTTTTCTTATCCGTCTGCCGGTCATAGGCGATTACGCGACCTGTTAGCCAGTAATTCATCATAGCCTCGAGATTAGTTTGTTTCTTTGTCAATGAAATCGAGCCCTATCGATTCTCTATTCTGAAGTCTGTCCTATCGAAACGCTAACGTGTGGACTGGCAGAGGCATTCGAAACGGGCAGGTGAATTCAGGTGTAATTCGTTTTGGTCCACTGGATCGGGCGTGTTTGCGTTGCACTCGACGCGCAGTTTTTCTAGCTGTTGGTGTGCTCGGGTTTCTGCTGAAAAATAGGAAATCACGGTTTCGCGGTCGCGATGCTTTTCTTCCTCGCGTTTCTCTGTTGTTTTTTTCTTTCTACTTTTCTTTTTTTTTTTCTTAGAAAAACTTGAAAAAATTGGCGAATACCGCAAATCGAAGATGCCGTGACAACGGTAGCAACCACGTATGTATGTATGTATGTATGTATGTATGTATGTATGTATGTACGTGTGTATGTATGTATATACGCATGTATGTTTGTATGTATATTCGCGATAGTAGGACCTTGTTTCGTATGTACAACATACAATCTTTTTTATGCTGTTACAATTATTATAGTTACGATAATAAACTGAACCTCCCAAAAGGTAAAACGCCTCGGCTTTTTTTTTTTCTCTTTTTTTTCATATCAAATGTACTGCATTAAATGTATAATTATATACAAGCTCCTCAGTCTTGTGCGAAGTGTAAGACGATTTTAGGTTCTAGCACTTCCGCCTCGGTGAAAACTAACTCGTTACGAATATTATATTTATCATTTCTCGAATCGTTTTCTTCTTTCTTTTTTTTTTTTCTCTCTTTCTGTCAAACGTTTCGTTTCCACTCTTTCTCTCTCTCTCTCT